CCCCACTCAGCACAATGTTAGCTATTGGCTGCTTATATATGCCCCTTATTGTATTGAAATGTATTCCTCCTATGCCTAATTTGTTTATTGTTTATCATAAAAGGATATTAAACTTTATCAACTGTCTTTTCTGTACCTATTGATATGATGTTTTAAATTTATTTAAATTTATTTTTTTTTGGCACTGACGTTTGAACTCAGGGCCTCACCCTTGCTAGGCAGGCGCTCTACCACTTGGGCCACTCCGCCAGCTATTTTAATTTTTTAAATTTTATTTTTATTATATTATTGATGTACTGGGGTACATTGTGACATTTACAGAAGTACTTACAATATATCTTAAATTCACCCCTTCATCATTCTCCTTTATTTCTCCTCCCCCCCTTCTTAGAATAGTTTCAACAGATCTCATTTTTCCATTTTCATACAGGAGTATATAATATTTCCATCATATTCACCCTCCTTCACCCTGTCCTTATATCCTCCCCCATCCCATTGGTACCAACCCCCAGACAGGATCTGTTTTACCTTCCTATCCTTTGTTTTTGAAAAAAAGGCATTTTTGTTTATTTAAGGTAGGTAGATATACAGAGTTTCATTATGACATTTCCATGTATGAATTTTTTTGTACACTGTTGATGTGGTATACCACATTTTTTGATTTGTGTGTGTTGAACCTTACTTGCATCTCTGGGATGAATCCCAGTTAATTGTGGTTTTTGTTTGTTTTTGCAGTGCTAGGGATTGAACCCAGGACTTCATGCATGCTAGGCAAGCACTATACTGCTGAGTTACATTCTCAGTCCCTAAGTAATAACCTTTTTAATATACTATTAGTATTTTGTTAAGGATTTTTGCATCTATGTTCATTAAGGATATTGGTCTACAGTTTTAGTGTTTGTGTGTGTCCTTGTCTGGTTTTGGTATCAGGGTAATGACGGTCTCAGACTGTGTTTGGAAGAATTCCCTCCTCTTCAGTTTTTTGGAATAATTTAAGAAGAACTGGTGTAAGTTCTTATTTAAAAGTTTGGTAGAGGCTGGGTGCAGTAGCTCATGTCTGTAATACTAGCTACCTGGGAGGCAGAGATTGGGAGGGCTGAGATTTGAGGCTAACCTGGGCAAAAAGTTTGAGAGACCCCATCTCAATCAACAGCTCAGTGGGGTGGTACATGCCTATCATTCCCAGCTACACAGAGAACCATAAACAGGAGGACTGCAGTCCAAGCCAGCCAGTGCATAAAAGGAAACCTTATCTGAAAAGTAACCAAAACAAGTGCTGGACATCAGTGGCTCACACCTGTAATCCTAGCTACTTGGCAGACTAAGATCTGGAGGATCATGGTTCAAGGCCAGCCTAGGCAAATAGTTCATGAGACCCCCATCTCCAAAATAACCAGAGCAAAAGGGATTGGAAGTATGGCTCAAGGCAGCTTTGCAAGCTCAAAGGTGAGTTCAAACCTCGGTACCACCAAAAAACACACAAAAAAACTACCAAAGCATAAAGGGTTGGTGGTGTGGCTCAAGTGGCAGAGTTCCTGTTTAGCAAGTGTAAGGCCCTGAATTCAACCCCCAGTAGCAAATGAATGAATGAATAAAATGTATGGTAGAATTTACCAGTGAAAATGTCTAGTCCTGGGCTTTTTATTACTAATTCAGTCTCATTAGTTGTTATTGGTTTGTTTGGGTTTTCCACTTCTTCATGATTCAATCTGTCTAAGGTGTATGTGTCTGGAATTTGCTCATTTCTTCTAAGTTATCAAATTTTTTGGTAAATAGTTGTTTGTATAATTTCTAACAAACCTCTATATTTCTATGGTGTCAGTTGTGATGTCTCCCCTTTTACCTCTTAAAGGTTTGTCAATTTTATCTTTTTGAAGAACAAGCTCTTCGTTTTGTTGGCTTTTGTATTTTGTTAAATCTCTACTTCATTTATTTCTTCTGTAATCTTTATTTCCATTAATTTTTGGATTTAGTTTGTTCTTGTTTTGCTAGTTCCTTGGGATGCAGTGATAAACTGTTTGAGATCTTTTAAAGGCACAGATCACATACTTGACAAATAACTTATATCAGAATATATAAAGAATTCTTAACCCTCATGAAAAACAAAATAAAATAAAACAAAAACAAGCCACCCAATTTAAAAATGGGCAAAGTAGCTGGATACCAGTGGCTCTTGCCTGTAATCCTAGCTACTCAGGAAGCAGAGATTAGGAGGATCATGGTTTGGAGTCAGCCCCAGGGAAATAGTTCCCTAGACCCTATCTCAAAAAAAAACCCATCACAGAAAAAGAGTGTTGGAGTGGTTCAAGCGGTTAGAGCACCTGCCTAGCAAGTGTGAGGCCTGGAGTTTAAACCCCAATGCTGCCAAAAAAAAAGGCAAAATATTTGAATGGGTATTTCACCAAAGGAGATATGTGGAAATGAAAACATATGGTCAAAGATATGTAACTAATGTTCATGGCAGCTTAATAAGTAATAACCTCAAATTGCAAACAACCCAACAGTTAATAAATTGTTATCCATCCGTGCATCCGTGTGTGTGTGTGTGTGTGTGTGTGTGTGTGTGTGTGTGTGCAGATGCTACAAGTTGCAGGATTAAGGCTTGGCATCCCTGCCTCCATTTTGTATCTATCTCCTTTTGCTCTGAGTCTCTGAAGTCGGGGAATGATGGAACTGATAATGTCTTTTTTTCAGGGAATGAAAACTACCCCCAAGGAACAGCAGAACCTCACGGGATGGACCGCTCCACAATGAGAACAAGTACCTATAATGATGAGGCTGTACCCTGGAGCAGAAGTAATCATTCCATGGGAACCAGGTTGCTCCCCTCAAGTGATGAAAGTATTAACTTCTCTGGAATCCCTCACAAAAGAATTGAGATAATGATCAACCAGACCACACTTTGCCTGGGACTGCTTAATTATGTGTATCTCTCACCTCGTAGAATAAATAGCCCTAATGTTAGAACACTGGTATGATTCCTATCATGTGCCTGCACCCATGTCTAGGTGTTTACTACCCTTTCCTATGTGCCTGTGCCTTTCCTATTAGGCACAGCTGTCCTTCTGTTTTATTTGCCTCAAATTTTTATTATGCATTCAGAGGCAAGAATCTAAAGGGCCAAGTTGAGGACACCCCTTAGGGTGAACAAAAGGGATCGAACCCCCACCCTTGCAGGCAGCTTACTGAAAGGCCCACACCTAGCCTCAAAGGAATGACAAACTCTCACTTTAGCTGGCTGTGCATCCATCCCCTCTAGCTTCCCCTAGCAATTGTTAATCCCAGAAAAACTCCCTGCCCAGCTGAACTTCCCCACCAGACCCCTCTGGTATATTTACTCTAAGTGGAATCGGCAGTGGGCTTTTGGCTTTGGCTGAATACCTCCTCTGCAGTGTTTCTTCCTGAATAAACCCTGTGTCTGGCATTTGAGCCGTCTCCCGCCCTTTCTATTCTATGCCTTTTTCAGTATAACACCCCCCTTTTTCTTGTTTTTAGGGGACCTCCTCAAGACAGTCACCACCACTGACATAAACATTACACACACACACCCATATACATCCATTATATACAATATAATAGCAGTAAAGGCTATTGATAAACACAACAACCTGGATAGCTCTCAAAGCAATTATGGTGAGAGAAAGAGGCCAGCCTCCCCCCCCACCACCAAAAAAAACAGTACATACTATATGATTCCATTTATATAAAATTCTAGAAAATACAAACTAAGATCTACTGATAGAAAACAGGATATAATTGCCTTGGGATGAGGAAGGCAGGGATCACAAAAGTACAAGAGGAAACCTAGAGGTGATGGACAGATATGTTCCTTTATATTGACTGAAGTGATGGTTTCAAGGCAGGCTAAAATTAGGGAAACTTCGGGACTTGTAGAAAAATATTACTTCTCAGATTAACCATGCTCTGGCTCAGGGATGGCCCTCACCTGGCCCAGGAACCACCCATTCCCCTCCCCAATCATTGATAATTGGACGGAAATCACCTGGTTCCTCCCTTCCTATAGATTAGCATAAGTTTTAAAAGTATCTGGAGAAGAGAAGCACACTCTCTGCCTCCAGATTCCACCTGCACCCGCCATACTCCCTTTTGCATTTTTTCTTCCCTAACATTTAATAAATTCCCTTTACACCCATGTGTCCTGAGGTGGATTCTTCCCGGGACACAAAGAATTTGGAAGTCTGATCACAGACACCACCTCCACCGGCAACAGTTTCACAGGTGCATACATATGTAAAAACTTATGAAACTCTACTCATTAAACAGGTAAGCTTTATTATATGTCAATTTCCAAAACAGCTTTTTAAAATAGGACAGAAAAAATATTTGTAAAACGTATAGTGCATACCAAATAATGAAACAACAGAATGGCCCCTGCATCCATCACCCAGTTAAAAAAAAGAACGTTACTATTAACTTTTTAAATTCTATTTTCCCTAACCAACTTAAAGCCCAGATTTTCGTGTTAAATACAAATGGGTGCCTGCAGCTATTTTCTAAATCTTTAAAGCTCCCAAATATTCTCAGTGCTATTTTTGTGTAAATTAGCTGAGTAATATAGTAGTCAAACATAATTTAAAGACCGAGACTTGCCCTTGAAGATATGGGTAGCCCGAAACAGTGACTCAACAATAATCCTGCTGTTGAATTAACATCTCAGAACCTCAGCCCAGAAAGTAAAACGGGAATTCTTGTTGAAAGTGGCTAGATAGGTCCTTCGGCTTCCTTTTTTAAAAACAGGGCTGGGGTGGGGGAAGGGAGGGAAACGAGAAAGTTGGGGCTATGTTACATAAAAGGGCGTTGGCAGCATCTTCAGTTGTGCTTTAACCAAGCTCCACCCACAGACTTTGTTTTCTTTGTAAAGAACACTGGAGCATTCGATGGGTGGGGTCAAAGTGCACTTTGGGGATGGGGAAACCTCCAGCAGGAAAGTAGGAGTCTCCAAACCCTCGAGAAGGGGAAGCAGGAACAGACTTGGAATAAAGGATCGTAATAAACTTGCCTTCTAAGGAAGAGCTGGGGACATTTTCATCTTGCCTCAGAAAAACTAAGCTACGAATACTTCTGCCAAAGGCCTATTAATTAAGCCAAACGGCCCTGGCCCATGATTTGACTTGAGCTGTTGTTTTGCACAACCAGTTCTCCTTTTCTCTATAGCTGATTGGCTCAGGAGTGTTTTTCCGCACAGCCAGTTCTCCTTTCCTCCGCAGCTGATTGGCTCTGGAGCCCAGCTAGAAGTCTGCGTCCTGTAATAAAGGAGTCTCCAGCTGTTGATCAGGGTATTTTCTCTATTCTAAGAGATGTCGCTTGCCATCTCTGTCCTCCGGTTGGCCATCTGCATCCTGTCATTTCCCATCTATCTCCTGAATTTTCTGGGCTTGTGGAGCTGGATATGCAAAAAATGGTTTCCCTACTTCTTGGCGAGTTTCACTGTGACATACAACGAGCAGATGGGAAACAAGAAGCGAGAGCTCTTCAGCAACCTGCAGGAGTTTGCGGGACCCTCCGGGAAACTCTCCCTGCTGGAAGTGGGCTGTGGCACCGGAGCCAACTTCAAGTTCTACCCACCCGGGTGCAGGGTGACCTGTATTGACCCCAACCCCAACTTTGAGAAGTTCTTGTTCAAGAGCATTGCCGAGAACCGACACCTGCAGTTTGAACGCTTCGTGGTGGCTGCTGGGGAGAACATGAACCAGGTGGCCGATGGCTCTGTGGATGTGGTGGTCTGCACCCTGGTGCTATGCTCCGTGGAGAACCAGGAGCAGATTCTCCGTGAGGCGTGCAGAGTGCTGCGGCCGGTGAGTGAAGGGGAGTGAGGACTGGTCAGTAGCTGCCAGTGCCCAAAGGGCAGGTCTATCAATTTCAGGTGAATTCTATTATTTAAAGCAAACAGAGAGGGGAGAGGCTAAGGGCCTGCTTAGTAAGCCTGAAACCCTGAGTGAAAACCCCAGTACTGAAAAAAAAAAAAAAAAAAAACTACCAGAGAAGACATTGTTGAATTTAAAAAAAAAAAAAGAGTAGGAAAGAAACTACAAAGGAAAAAAACTGATAAATCTGAATATATATATATATATATATTAAAAAACTGCTGCGGAGAAAAAAGTACTATAAACAAAGTTTAAGAATAAAAACGGGTAGAGCTCCTACTTGCAAGCATCAAGTCCTGAGTTCAAACCCTAGTACCACCAAAAACAAATAAACTTGGTAGCAGTATTTGTCAGGGACTAGACAATGTTCCTCTTATTAAAAAAAATTTAAATCAATAAGATCGCCAACATTTTTTTAAATTGGTAAGAAAAACAAGAGAAAAAGATGAGCAACAAGCAGGAGCAGAATTGTAAGTTAAATAAGCAGTTATGTGAAAAAAAATGCTCAAATTTACAGCTAAAGAATTTACTACATAAGATGCCATTTTTACCAATTATACTATCAGGGACTTACAGTTAATACGGTGTAAAGAATTGAACATCCTCAAAAATGGAGGCGGAAGTGCCTTGGAAGGATCATTAAATACAAAACTTCAGGTGAACATACTCTTTTGTGCAGGAGGAATTCTTCCTACAGCTATAAATGTGCAAAAACTTACCCATATTCAAGAATATTCATTAAAGTATTATTTATAACAGCACAAACTGTCTTGTCAATGGGAAGCTGTTTAAGAAAATTGTCACATAGTGTAAAGGAATTCTGTGCAGCTATTAAATAGAACAAGAAGAGTGGTCTATGCTGATATGAAGAAAATCCCCAAGAGAAAATGTTAAATGAGAAAAAGCAATCGAAGCACAGAATGTAGAGCAAAACTCCCTTGTGTGAGGGGTTGGAGAAAGAACACATATATGTTAATGAGAATGACAGACAGGAAATAGTAACAGTAGTTATCTCTTGGGAATGTGACTGGGTGCAGGGTAAGAATAACTTTTTATTTCATACCTTTCTGTAAAATCTGAAATTCTTTATGATCATAATTTTCATATTGCCTTTGTTATTTAAAAAACTAGGTTAAAAGGGTTTTTTTGTCTAAACAAAGTTGAACATAAAGTATGGCTATCAAAATTTCAATTTGCTACTCTAGGAGAAAGGGATGTTTTGTAATCCCGTTTCATTTTCTAACAGAGGAAGTTCTTCAAGAAAAAAGTATTCAGAGATAGGGATCAGAGGCCTAATGTGATCCTGTCTTTGGCTCAAGGATAGACTAATATCAATGTAGTAAGTAAAAAAGACTGATTCCTAGGCAGGTGTGGTGGTGTACATCTGTAATCCCAACACTCAGAAGCTGAAGCAGGAGATTGAGGAGTATGAGGCTACCCTTGACTATGTAGGGATACCATGTCTAAAAAAACAAAACAAAAAAAGAAAAGACTGAGGGCTGGCGGAGTGGCTCAAGAGGTAGAGTGCCTGCCTAACAAGCATAAGGCCCTGACTTTAGATCCCAGTACCACCAAAAAAAAAAAAGACTGTGTTGACTAAGCTAAATATGCCTATGTCACCAGTTAATGAATTCTGAAAAAAAAGGACTGATTCCTTTTTTTAGTTTTTTGGCAGTAGTGAGTACTGAGGTTTGAACTCAGACTTCACACTTGCTAGGTAGGCACTCCTCCATTTGGGCCACTCCACCAGCAGGGCTGAAATGCTGGATTCTTATGTCCTAAACCAGGGCACATTAGTCCATGTTTTGTTTAAATGTTACTAATCCCATGACACCTGTGCAAAGCAGGTAATTTTTAGTGCCAATTCACAGCCCTGATAAAACATAAAACTCTTAAAGGGATCATCTTCTTGGTAGTCTTTCGAAGCTCTGCTGATTAGACGCAGGGGCATTATTACGTTCTCATTTAACCCTCACAATAATCCTTTAAGGTAGATATTTAGTGTCTTCATATTGTGACAAGGAAACAAACTGAGAGAAGTGGAGAAACTTGCCCAAAGTTACACAGCTAGTAGGTCTGACTCTAATGAAACTATTCTTTTGGTTTTTTTTTTTGAGGGTGGGGGCACTATTGGGGTTTGAACTCAGGGCCTCATTCTTGCCAGGAAGGCACTCTTCCACTTGAGCCACTCTGTGAACCCCTCTTTAATGGAAATATTCTTATTGCTACACCACAGCACTTGTCATTGGGGCTTTTCTCTCTGACTTCAACATTTCTACCACTTTTTTGCTGGCTGTTTTTCCTCCTCCCATCCCTAAACACTGGGGTTCCTTTTTTGGCTCTCATTTCACTTATCTATACTCACAGGCAATCTCACGAACCCCCAATGTTTCAATTACCACACATACACCCATGGTATCTACTAAAATATCTATCCCAGATCTCTCTTCTAACCCCACGCCTGTCAGTCTCCTGAATTACTCACAGCCATCTGTAGCTTACCACAGGCAATTCAGAGGCCAACAGTGACCCCTCCAAACCTGCCTCTCCTTCATCTCCTGCCTCCTGTGTTAACCTAAGAAAATGACTTTTTAAATCAGGAAATTCTAATTTTTCTATGTTTGATCATAAGTCTTACTTTACACTTACCCATACAATATGGGGGGAACTTCATCTCTATGCTCTGAATTCTATCTCTAAACTCTGAGTCAGGTTAGCCAAGACCAACATAGCTAAAAGAGACTGAGAAAAATGGCACAGTCACAACAGATTTTGGAACTGTCAGTCTCTTTTTCCATACTCCCCCCAGAGTTAGATAGATAGAAAACTTCTGAAACCCTCCACAGTGTCATGACATCTGTGGTTCCTAAGTTGACCTATTTGGACCATTTCAGATCCAGGCAACAGGTGCCATTCCTACCTGGCTGTAATTTACACTTGGCACCCAATGGTTGAAGAAAATACTTAATGGTATTTTTTCCAAATAGTTGGGATTATAAACATGCACCACCACATCCTGCTAGCTCTGTATAAAATTGGACAGGTTCATTCAAATAGTTTCTTTTACTTTGACCTCAAACTAATCCCAAAATAGTCTGAACTGCAACTTCAATATCAGAAAAGGGAGAAAGTGGAAATATACATCTTATGATTTTAAAATCATCCTGATCTCTGGTAAGTTCATGTGTCTAGTGTGTAATAAAGATCAATATGAACTAAAAAAAAAAATTGACAGGTTGAAACTACTGACAAAACAGTGTAAATTTTAAATTATCCATGTCTTCTCATGAAGTTCACCTATGGGACCTATGAAATCTAAAGCTTCACTAATTCTATAAGTCTGTTTTCCCAAAACTAATATCCTTGAAATTTTTTCTTTCTCAGGGAGGGGCATTTTATTTCATGGAGCATGTAGCAGCTGAGCATTCGACCTGGAATTACTTCTGGCAGCAGGTCCTGGATCCTGTCTGGTACCTTGTGTTTGACGGGTGTAACCTGACCAGAGAGAGCTGGAAGGCCCTGGAGCAAGCCAGCTTCTCGAAACTGAAACTGCAGCACATACAGGCCCCACTGTCCTGGGCGCTGGTGCGTCCTCATATCTATGGGTATGCTGTGAAGTAGTGTGGGGTAGCAGTGGAGAGCAGAATGGCTCAAATAATTCAAGGCTTCAGTTTTACATTTTAAAATACTAATTGGGAAAATGGAAATCTCTGTTTTCAGGTAAAATTGAATTCAGTCCTTAAAAGTTTGTTATATCCATTTGTTATTAACCATTTTTTGTGGTCTTCCACAGAATCAAAACCAAACCAAACCAAGCCAGCTTTGAACTCTTCCTTCAAAGAAAGCAGTGGAAATCCACCATTATCTCCAAACCTTACTTCATTCAGTGGTTTAGGAATTTTTCCAATTGCCTAATTTAAATTGCTACCTAACAGATTTTTGTTTTGTTTTTTGAGATAGGGTCTTGCCACATAACACAGATTGGCTGAATTTGGTCAATTTATGTAGCCAGGCTGGCCTCGAACTTGTAATCCTTCTGCCTGAGCCTCTCTATAGTGCTGGGATTACAGAAGTGAGCCACTACACCAGGTTCTACTCAACAGATTTTAACTTCACCTCCTCTTTGAGAGGTTGGTGCTAAGGAGCAGTTAAATTGCTTCAAGACTTGGAAATGGAAACAGTGAGACAACCTTAACAGTTCACAAACTGAATAAAGAAGTACTAACTGAAAATCCAAGTCTTAACACAGATTTTCTGAAAAAGAAATCTGAACCTGTTTGTTATTCTTAGTGTCATTGGTTTAGCCACATGTAATTCTGCCCAGCTTTATGTTTCTTCCTCCAATATTCCACCAAAGTTTGTTTACCTGCATTGTAGTCCTCCACTCTTACAGGCTGTATCTGACACATAAGTATAACCATAAGACTACACACGGCAAGTCAGGTTCTTGGGTTCACTTTCCTTATCATCTAGCACATACTTCACTGAATATAGTAGATTACAGGCAGGAAAGGGCCCACTGTAACTAGGAAAAGCATGTGTAATTAGGTACACTGTGTAAAGAACCCTGAAAAAGCAATCTGTAAGACTATTAAGAAGTAGGCAAGTATTTTTTGGATTACTGTGATCAAATTCCACTCTTGTCTCAAGACAGCTTATTATTTGCAATTATAGAAACCATGAAAACCATCACAAGTGCTTTGAGAACAAGTGGTAGGTGTGTCAGTCAGAGGATTTAATAGGATTTTCAGCAATACTTTATATGTATTTAAGAAATGCAGTATATTTTCTGAAATGATTTTATGGTACTATTTTAAATATCAAATAACCAATAAATTCATATTCATTTTAGTAATGGAAATAAAAAAGTTTATGTCTTTGCTACCTTCGATCCGTTTTTCTTAATGTCTCTGAGAAGACTTACCTTTCTACAGTCAGGTAGGTATAAACACAGCTAGTAGATTTTAGAAAAAGAAATCTTAAAGGATCAGAATAGGTTTTTGAAAAGTTCAAGTCCAAAGATCTCATTTGTGAAATGCACAGAGCAGGAAGAAAGCAAGCTGAATGTTCTACCTCCTGAATAGTTAGTGGTGTAGTTAGGATGGATGCTCACCTAAGGCCTCTTTAGCTCTGGAAAGTGACTCTCCTTCCTCAAGTCTTCCCAAGATAGGAACTCCTTTATCTTACCCACTTCACTATTAGTTAGGTTGGCCTAGTGACTGAGAGCTATGTAAAGCACAGGTGTACCTGGTGACATGTTATCATCACACTGGAAGATAATGCTGACTAGAGTACTAGAGCACATTCTTACTAATTTCCTCTTGTCTCAATGGTGTGGCAATTATCCTCATTTTTTTGTTGTTTTGGTGATTGAACTCAGGGCCTCTAAGTAAGCACTCTACAACTTGCCCTAGTCTAGTGTCCTCACTTTTGATAGAGAAAACTGAGGGATAGAGAAATAAATAAATGAACTTTCTTACAGTTATTCTACATGTTACTTAAGTTTTAGGAAGCCTGATTTCCTAAATTACAAAATCTGCTTGACAATCACTGCCACCATATGAGCTTACAGCTTTCCTCCTTTGGTCCAGAGAACACATACCCACTCTAAGAGCCCTAGGAAGTAACTTAAGCCTGTGCAAAAGGGAAAAACCATAACAAAAAGGCAAAAGATGTTCAGTGTTTTTCATGTCTTATGTTGATTCCAAGTGACAGAATCCCACCCCCCCATCCAAACAGTCTTATGCTTAAAAATGACTTTACTGATGCAAATTAGTGAAAAGCCCAGGGGCAGTAAGCTTCAGGCACAGCTGAAGCAAGACTCAGGTAATGTTATCAGGAGCCAGTCTTTACGGTCTTATCTGCCCTCCTTCTCCATTTGTCCCATTAGGTAACACAAGTTGGCAGATGTAGTTCCAATCTTCATCCTTACAGGGCCCAAGGCCAGTTGGAAAGAGAAAGTTCACTTTCACAAGAACGCCAACCAAAATCCCGAATTGAGTCTAATTAATTGTCTGATCGACCATACTGGGTCACAAGTCCATCCCTCAACCAACCCTTATGGTAAGATGGCAGGAATGAACTATACTAACTGGCTTGCATATAGGTTACAGAGCTTCCTCCCTGGGGGAGAGGAAATGTGTATATCCCGATGAAAACAAAGCCTATGACAGGGATAAGAATTTGAAATGGATGCTGGGAAAGCACACAACATTGGTGAATTTTGAGCAAATCACTGAAGGGAGATCACATAGTACAACATTAAGAAAGCTGACTTTTCTGTGGAATAACTGCATGCCACAAGGAAAATAAAAAAATAAAATGAAATTTTGGCTTTGGCATCAAAGTGATCTAGGTTATGTCCTCACTGTGTTCTATTCTGGTATATTGATCATTTAAAAGTATGGGGAAGACAGTAGATACAAAAGATCACTTTGGGCAGCGGAGTGACTCAAGTGGTAGAGTGGCTGCCTAGCAAGCATGAATCCTAGAGTCCAAACCCCAGTGCTGTCAAAAAAAAAAAAAATCACTTTGATCTTTGTGCTGTTTCTCAAAAGCAAAAGATGAAATTCCCATGTGAAAGATGTTCTTCCTCTACTAGGAAGATGAAATATCCTTATCAAAGAGGAGACAAAGGCAGAGGCGCAGGAGAATTTTTATTTAACCACTATAATATTGAGTGCCTACCATGGGGTCTGCTGTGGTACTTGGAAAAGAGCTCTAGATAAGCTAGACATGGTCACTGCACTCATGAGTGATAGTGATCAATGCTATCTCTTAAAGAAAAAGCCAGAGGCAATAGAGAATGTAATCCTACCTACCCAGGAGGAGGAGATAAGAGGCCTTCTTGTGCAAGAGACTTTCTCATGGAATTGAATACCAAAGGATGAATAGAGTACTTAGCCTAATGGAATTGTTTGTACCACAGATGAAGAAAAGGAGGAAACTATACATTCAAGAAACCAAAAGCAAGTAAGCAGGGCTGGGCACCAGTGCCAGAAGGGCAGGTTCTGAGCTAACTGCCATTTCCACTGGTTTCTTCCAAATCTTGTTAAGATCCTCTGCCCAGAAGCCCAACACTTAATTTAATGGGTACCCCCCAAGAAAAACCATTAAATTTTCTTATATTTATACTCCAAAAATTTTTATTCCTAAGTGTTCTAATATTCTACTTGTTTCTTCTGAATTTCTTCATATTTCATACTTGAATTAAAATGGAAGCAAACATTGCACAATATTTCCTTTTGTACTGTTGACCCTAGGTAAGCCTTCCCCTTGATGTTGCTTTGAAAAACACAGTACTTAACTGAAACATAATTCTTTTTTTTTTAAACATTCTTGTTTGTCATAGTACAATTGACAGTGCAATGAAAAGTAGTCACAAAGTCAACAAATGTAAATAAAAGCAAAAAAGAAAACCATTCAGTAAGTGTCATTTCATCTGAATATTTGATACCCAAAGCATTCAGGTTACATTAAAGAATGCCAAGAATTCCCTGTTGAACTGAGAGCAGAGAAGGAACGGCTGGTTAGCCAATGCCAGACAACAGAGGCAAAGGTCAGGCTGACTGAGAGTGAAGGAATGACAGAGTGGCCAGGGCACCTAATTTCTAGTTCTGTGTAAAACAAATAAAATGATGATCAAACAAGATAGTATTTTGTTTCTAAAGGAAAACATTGGAGAGCCTGTAGAGAACTACATATCGACTAGGAAGATTATCATTCAAACCTCACCATTCGTCAAGGTAAAAACTGGCTAGGCATGATGGCACACACCAGTAATCCTAGAACTTGAGAAGTGGAGGCAGGAGAATGGCAAGTTTGAGGCCAGCCTGTCCTACATAGGGAGACCATATCTCAAAAAAAAAGTAAAAATCACAATAGTCTTTCCTCAAGCTGTAGCCTTCACAGTCTTTAATATCTCACAGTAACGTCAACCTCCTTGCAGTGAAGCTTTTATTTCATGTCTCTAATAGCAAATAATAAAAACTTCCATTTTAGCCAGGTGCTGGTAGCTCACTCCTGTAATCCTTACTACTCAGGAGGCAGAGATCAAGAGGATCGAGGTTTGAAGCTAGCCCAGGCAAATAGCTTGAGAAACCTTCCTTGAAAATACTTAACACAAAAAGGGCTGGTGGAGTGGCTCCAGGAGCCACTGGAGTTCAAACCCCAGTACCTAAATAAATAAATAATAAATAAATAATTTCCATTTTAAAGTGTCTTCTATATGCCATACACTCACTTTTTAAACGGCGATTTCATATAATTCGCAAGGCAGGTATAATCATCTCCATCTGATAAATGAGAATACAGATTGGTGAAGGTTCCATCACTGTCCAAGTCCACACAGTATTCCTATATAGTTTGTCTGACTCAGAAGCCCAGGTGTCCCCTGCTTCTCAAGATCTTCTGTACTTCTGTTCCCTCCTCCCTCCACCTCCACTGTGAATGGTCCCTTACCACTCATCTGCTCCATACTACTTTGTGTTCAAACCCTTGGCCCTTATTCTACCCTTAGGTTGTAAACCACCACCTGGTGAGAAGATTCCTAGCGCTTAGAATTTAACACATCAAAAACAAAATTCAGGGCTATCGCTCAATGGTAGAGTATTTGCCCAGCACATAACAAGGTCCCAGGTTTGATCGCCAGTACTGCAAACCAAAAATTCACTGCCTCCTTCACTAAATAAGCAACACTTTCCAAACCCCTCTCCATCCCACTATAAATGGTTATTTTCTAATTCTTTAAGGACCGCATAAAATGATGCCCCTTCTACAAAGCATGCTGTAGCTATTTCATAAAAGTTTCCTCTTTAATAAATCTCTAAGCCAGGCATGGTGATGCATACCTCTAATCCCAGCACTCAAGAGGTGGAAGTCTGGGCTATGAAACCCTGTCTGGGGAAAGGGGGAATCTCTCAACAACAGCTAATACCCAAGGGTGTGATTTCCCATCACCAAATTCTTCAAGTACAGTGCTTACTATACAGCAGATGTGGATAGTATTTACTAACCATTACCATCAGCTTCTGCCTCTTCCACATACCTTCCATCTGTCCTTCACTCCATCTCCACAGCCATCATCCTACTCTGATACAGTGCCTGGATTACCATATGTTTGGCTTGCCAGGAGATGGCTGGAATGATAAACCATTCACACAGGCACCTGCCAGCTAGTGCCCATTACTCAAAGGATATGAGAAGAAAGTAGCTGTGAGGTTCAGGGAAGATACTAAGCCTGGATATAGAAGAGGGCAGCTCCTCCAGAGTTGTCTTGCACTTCCCTGTCCCTTTGTCCTTCTGCTCCTCCATGATACTTTCCCAAGGTTCACGTCTCCTTTGCCCAATATTTTGAAGAAGATGTTAACTGCTAAATAATTGGGGGTTCTTTCTTTCTTTGGTTGGTTGGTTTGGTGTGCATGTGTGTGTTTTACCTGTCTGGTTTGTTTGATTGTTTTTGAAACAGGGTCTTGCTATGTATCCTAGGATACCCTTGAATTTTCAACCCTACTGCCTTAGCCTCCCAAGTGCTAGGATTACAGGTATATACCACCAAGCCCAGCTAATAATCTTTCAATAATCTCTCTTTAGATTTACGAAAGCAGAATATCTGATGACCACTGCAAAGAGCCTCCTTAGGCTTTAGTTTTGTAATTTGCTGTGACGAAGTAACTGCAGAAGGTTGAGGTTCATTGTAATGTTCCAGCCACTCATTACAGGAGGCATACAGAACAAGGACAATGTTTCTTTCTTTTTTTTTTTTTTTTTAATGCTTGATAGGAAAGACCATTTAAAAAAAATTTTTTAAATTTATTTATGTTTTATTCATACGTGCATACAATGTTTGGGTCATTTCTCCCCCCTCCCTCCACCCCAAGGACAATGTTTCTTAAGTAACTATTTAACTTGTTTATTCCCATAACTCAAAATTATGAAGATTCCTACTCCATAAAATTGAATTTAAGCTGTTCAGCTGCTGTATTTAGGGCATCTGTTTTTGCCACACTTTTTTTTTTTTTTGAGACAGGGTCTCACTATGCAGCCTAGGCTGGCCTCAAACTTGAGATCCTCCTGCCTCAGCTTCCCAAGGCTGGGATTACAGGTGTGACGTGCACTACCATGCCTGGCATTCCTCAATACTTCCCACATTTGTGGCCCAGGAGAAAAGTATGGGAGATATTCTGACTCTAAATCTCAGCACTGCATTTTGCTAATATTTTATTAACTTAGTAAAAGAATCTCCCTACCTTACATCTCCTAGAATTGTTGTGAGGATGAAATAATTGCAAAAAGGTACTTTGTAAACTATAAAATTGTTAGTGTTAAGCACAAAGGCTGCTTCACAGTCTCTCTCTGGGCACGGCCTGACTCCATAGTATTTGTGAGAACGAAGGAGGGTACCTCCTGAGTCTCTCTCTCTCTCTTTCCTGTAGTCACCTTGGATTCCTGGAGTGACAGACTGATTGATAAAGCAGCTTTATGGTAGGAGACCATAACCACCCTGAAGCAATAGCAAGCCTTGCAGGACAGGATCACTCCCCCTGCCCCCAACCAAATAAAAATAGGGCAATTGCCTATGATAGTGAGGCTGTGCACTTAATCATCTCATGGGAACCACGTTGCTCCCCTCAAGTGATGACAATGACAGCCAGCAACTTTTCCACATCCCTTTGCAGAACCAGAACTAAGATAACAATTGATCAGACCATTAGCTTGACCAAGATTACCTGCTCAGTCCACAATGCATACCCCAACTCCTTCATTGTCTCAGAGTTCCTTTTATCCCCTTGAAGATGGTCTTGGGGTTGCCCAAGCCATTTATTTGTTCTTCTTTTTTGCAGTACTGGGATTTGAACTCAGGGCCTACACCTTGAGCCACTCCATCAGCCCTTTTTTTGTGATGGGTTTTTTTTGAGACAGGTTCTCAGGAACTATTTGCCTGGGCTAGCTTTGAACCACGATCCTCCTGATCTCTGCCTCCTGAGTAGCTAGGTTTATAGGAGTGAGCCTCTGGCGCCCAGCTATCTGTTCTTTTTGACATGGCCATTCTGATTAAATCTCCTTTTTTAATCTTTCACCACTACTTGTCTCTTGAATTGGCATATGGAAACAGGTGGCCGAGTCTAGTCTGTTGAGACTTATGGAGCCAGGGCTTTTGTCCTAAAACTCTAGTCAGAAGAAGAGAAGAATGAAACCTATTTTTCTATAAGGAAAAGTTATTTCTATGAATGTAACTCTGGAATATAATCACATGAATTATTATACATTACAATGTTTTCTAAAGATTCAGGTTTTTTGTAGAACATTTTTATTTTGAAATTTATTTTTATTTTTAATTGAAACAGTAATTTTACACATTTATGAAGCATAATCTGACATTTTAATACATATATACAATGTATAATGTTGGTATATTTTAAAAGAATCTAACATTAAAAAAATAGTTTGTCAAAGCCCTCACTTTTTACGTAACAATAACTTGGGCACTCTCATGAAATGTGCCTGCTTCATTAGCTATGAATAACTTCCGCACAGAGCACTTACAGGTACAGACGTGGTTTTCTAAATCCCTGTAATCTTCCTTCCCATCTTACTTGTCAAGCTAAGGAGCTAGTATTAGGGCTGTAAAAGCAGCAG